TGTGCCATGAATAAACAGGAAAAAATAACAGGAGTACATGTGGCACCTTAGAGACTAACAAATTTATTTGGGCATAAGCTTTCATGGGCTACAGCCTACTTCATCGGATGCATAGAATGGAACATATAGTGAGGAGATGTATATACATACAGAGAACATGAAAAGGTGGGAGTTGTCCTACCAACTCTAAGAGGCTAATTAATTAAGAGAAAAAACTTTTGTAGTGATAATCAAGATAGCCCAGTACAGACAGTTTGACAACGGGCCAAGAGCAGGCAGAATAAATCTCTGAGGACAGGAAAGGTACAGTCGCCCGGTGGATGGGAATGCTAGTGAGCAGGTGCCCTACTCCGTGGGAGCGTGGCAGGCAACAGACCTGTCCTCACTTACAGACAGCCCCCCAACCTGAAGCAAATATTCACCAGCAACCACACACCACTGAACAAAAACACTAACCCAGGAACTTATCCTTGCAACAAAGCCTGATGCCAACTCTGTCCACGTATCTATTCAAGTGACATCATCATAGGACCTAATCACATCAGCCACGCCATCAGGGCTCGTTCACCTGCACATCTACCAATGTGATATATGCCATCATGTGCCAGCAATGCTCCTCTGCCATGTACATTGGCCAAACCGGACAGTCTCTACGCAAAAGAATAAATGGACACAAATTTGACATCAGGAATCATAACATTCAAAAACCAGTAGGAGAACACTTCAGCCTCTCTGGCCACACAGTAACAGACCTAAAGGTGGCGATTTTGCAACAGAAAAGCTTCAAAAACAGACTCCAACAAGAAACTGCTGAACTTGAATTAATATGCAAATTAGACACTATCAATTTAGGCTTGAATAGAGACTGGGAATGGCTGAGCCATTACACACTGAATCTATTTCCCTACGTTAAGTATTCTCACACCTCTTGTCAAACTGTCTGTAATAGGTTTTCTTGATTATCGCTACAAAAGTTTTTTCTCTTAATTAATTAGCCTCTTAGAGTTGGTAGGACAACTCCCACCTTTTCATGTTCTCTGTATGTATATATCTATCTTCTCACTATATGTTCCATTCTATGCATCCGATGAAGTGGGCTGTAGCCCACAAAAGCTTATGCTAAAATAAATGTGTTAGTCTCTAATGTGCCACAAGTACTCCTGTTCTTTTTGCGGATACAGGCTAACACGGCTGCTACTCTGAAACAAGAAAAAATAAGTATCTTGTTCTTCTGTTTCTCCTTTCTGCTGCCTGCCTACAGCACCACTGCTGTTTCCAGAGCTCCCACTCCCCAGAACTTCCATCTGTTGTCTGCCTACTGCATCAATGATGTCCCCAGAGTGCTTGCACCTCAGATCTTCCACCCACAGAACCAATAATGTCCCCAGTGCTGCTGTTCTCTATAGAGCTTTCATCTGTTGCCAGCCATGCTCCCACGGATGCCCCTAGAGCACCTGCTCACTAGCATTCCCATCCACTGGGCGATTGTACCTTTCCTGTCCTCAGAGATTTATTCTGCCTGCTCTTGGCCCATTGTACCACAAATATCTCTTGAACCCCAAGTCCCCACTGCATCTATTCATCTATCCCATCCCTTCTGTTCAAGCTGTGATAGATATTGCAACCACATGCAATATCTTTGGAGACCATATTGTATTAAATGTATGTATCATTGTAGCCCAGGGATTGTATGTAACTCCAGGAAGGAGAGTTATCAGAGCTCCTCCAGGAACCAAAAACAGTGCGGGGGGCGGGGGGGAATTACAATGAATTGCTTAGGCTGTAAACACCTCTAGAGAGATACCACACCCTGGGGAGGTTTGCATGTAATTGTTCAAGCTGGGTTTTCCTGAGACCAAAAGACAAAGTAAGGGCTTTTGATATCAAAAGGCTAGGTTTAACTGGCTCAGGGCCTTCTTTCTCATCAAGTGGACAGGACCTTCTGTCCCAGGGGGGCCCCACCTCTTACAGAAGGGTTGGAAAGACCTTGGCTTACTAAGGGCCCCATAAGACTGATGGGTGACCTCTGGGAAGCTTTAGCATTAATATAGAATATTTTATTATATATTTTATATGTAACTGGTTTATATGTTTTATCTGTAATGCTTTTACCTTAGGAATATAGGTGCTTGTTAAGAAGGAGCTGTGTTAACTTGTAACTGCTGGCAATATACAGTTCACAGTCCTTGGAGAGAAAGCAAAGCACAGGTGCTGGCTTTTAGGCAGACTGGCTTGTTGGGGATATCATAATGTAGGCAGGAAACTGTGCAGCCTTAAAACCCCTGGTGAGAAGGGAGAGACATGGGTCTCCACCCAAGACAGGTGACAACTGGGAGCTGGAAACATTAAGTAGGTGCCCTCGAGGAATCAAGGACTGGGGAATACAGGTACAGTTACTCTGACACTGTGACACAAACCACTTACAGATGGTCCTTCTCAGTTATGCCCTGAACACTTGTATGTTATTTGCCATTGTGCTTCAAGAGAAGAGCTAGGCTCTGTTCTTCTTTAAAGGAAGAGTGCCAGTGCCATGACTTATGTGAGACACTTAGCATCTGATGAACACCCAGTTGCAAGTAACTAGGCAAATCTGTGTTTGTGCTAGAGACCGGAGAATGAGAGCTGATAACTGCTGATGACCCAAAGGATGGAAACTGCTGACTTGTACAGTACAGTTTCACACACACTTGAAGTAATGGCCCTTTTGGCAGCTACTGGATTTTATGGCTATGCCTGCAGCTATGTTATCATCTTCTCAGATCACAAAGCAATCAATGTTTGGATAGGTGCCTTTGAAACCTCATATCTTTTTATTTTGTTACTGAAGCATCTTAGAGCACTCAAAGCACTTTGATTCTGCAGCAGTCCTGTATAGCTCCTGGGTGTTGGATGAATACCAAATGACAAGGTTTCCTCTCTTCCATAATATATGCATTCTGGAATTTGCTTTTTGTGTAAAGTTCTTGGTAAATAGGTCAATATCTACTGAATATAGGTCACCTTATCAGCTAAATCATGTTTCTGCACCTTTGGCAACTGAATCCCTTCCCAGAAGTATACTGAACATACAGTGCCATATGAGGTTTCTGTGACGTAAAGTTTAGGGACATTTAATAAAATAATGCTGTAGTGTACTGTGAAGGGCAGAAATCGTATATAAATTTAACTTCAACAGCAAAGTACTGCAGTAGAACCCCGATTTTACGAACACTGATGTTATGAACAACCGGTTACATAAATCACTTTTCCTGGTGGAAAAAAAACTGTATCCCTCAATCAAGAAGCTACACATATGTACTTGGCAGTGAGCAGAAGGCATGTGCACTCAGAGCAGAGGTGTATTATTTCACCAGTGGCTACTGGTACACTATGTTCATATAAGATTGTAAGGTACACTGCATACATTTGTTTCCATTCAATATGTACATTGTCATTGAATGATTAGCACATTAAGTTATGCTCTGTACCTACTGTAATTTTTAAATGTTCAATTTTATGAACTTTTTGAACACCGCTCCGCAATCCCCAATTAGTTTGTGACATTGGGATTCTTCTGTAATGATCTCAGTCACGATGGAATTTACAGCAAGTTATATAAGTTACATACTGACCTAATTAACATTGACTGTACATGCAGGTGTCAACAACAGAGATCAAACCTGGGAGCTTCAGCAACCTTGCTAATTAGGGAGAATGCTAAGATTCTAGTCTGTGCCCAGAAGGATAAGGATGACCTGTGCATTCACTACAGAGCCACTATATTGCAAGTGGACATTACCTGAGTTAAACTGAAAAATCTGTCATACAAGTCATCTGAGACTACAGGATTTTGTCCATTCACATCTGCACTCAAGTAACTTTCTGTGATCTAGTCTGGCATTTACACACAGAGAGAGATTACACGATCTGAGATATATGGACAGAAGTGGCTCACGACCTGCAGATCTCCCCTGAATTCTGTGGCGGTTAAAGTTAACATCAACACATCACTGGGCAGCTCAGAGAGAGCTCTCTGCAGGTTTAGGTTCCATAGGGGAAAAGGAAGCTGAGAATGTGTGGGCGCATGGGTCATGCCTGATTCCAGGACACACATACTCCATCCAACTTGTTGTCTGGCTCTGATGAGTTTCACAGACTGTATTAACTCTTCTGTGGTCCCCTCAGCAGTGCAGAACTCCCCCTTTAATAAGAATGGGGGAACAGCTGTAGCCATTGGGACCATGCTGGCAGGGAGCTGGGAGAGGGGCTTTGGTTCCTAAAGCCACTCATGTTGAAGCACAAAGCCGTGATGTGGATGCCACTGGTCTCCTGTGGGATCATATGGACAACGGGGACTGGTAAGGTGTGGGAGACCTTGGAACCCAGTGGAATTTTCCTCCTCCTGTACGTTTTACTCCAGGAGGAGCTTTCTGGGCCAGTTATAATGGCACAACTATGCAGTGGTCAAGAAGATAAGGATATAAACAGCCTCAACTGCCTCTAACTTCAAGGTTAAACCTCTCTAGAGCCTGGAAGTGAGCAGGCGGGCAATGGGCTGTCCTGACAGGTGCCTCACTAGATGCCAGCAGACGTTCCCCACCCTTGGGTGCCCCTGGGCTGCAACGACTCGCTTAGCAGCGTCATCGGTGGGGACTGTCAGCAGCAGCCCCGCCAATGGGCGGTATATGCCGGGGACCGCCCACCCCCCACTATACTGCGCGGCTCGGGCAGGGGACGCCACGTGACACCCTCTCCCCCCCCCCCCCGCCGCGCCTCGGGGCACATCCTTCCTCCCATTGATACACTGTAGCGAGCCGGAACGTCCCGAGCCCTGCCAGGCAGCCTCAGTCGATCGCCGAACGGCGGCTCGGGCGGCTGGGCTGAGGCCGGGTGGATCGCGCGGCATTCGGCTAGCGCGCCGGGCGGGAGGCGCGGCGCGGCGCGGCGCGGCGCGGCGGCGGCGGCTGTGGGGCGGTCGGTCGGTGTCTCTCGGCGCTGCGGTTGCTGCCGGCTTCCCGCGAGTCCCCTGCCGCCATGGCGGAGCCGGCGGACAAGCTGTACCGGGCTGAGTACGCCAAGAGCGGCCGGGCCTCGTGCAAGAAATGCGGGGAGAGCATCGCCAAGGACTCGCTGCGCCTGGCCATCATGGTGCAGGTACCGCGTGGGCACGGGAGCCGGCCCCGCCCACGGGCCCCGCGGCTGCCGCGCCGCCTTCCTTGCAACCCCCGGGGGCTGTGCGGAGCGGCCCCGGCCGCTAGGCCGGCGGCCACGTGTTGCTTTCAGCCGGTGGCCTGGGCCAAGTGTCCGCTCCATGCCTTCCCCTCTGGCAGCGCCGGTTGCAAAGCGGCCCGGGTGCGGCACGCGCCGTGCTAGCGCAGCTCTTGGCGGCACGCGTTTGGTTTCGCGGCGCGGCGCTGCTGCAGCCCCCGGGTGGCCCTCCCCGGCACGGCGCTGTGCAGCTCTGGCAGCGGGGATGGGGGTGGCTAGATTTGTGCAGGTTCTGAGTCCGTTCGCCCCGACTTGTCCTCAGACATCATTGTGGCAGGGATTTGTGCCCAGGGGCCAGATGGCGTCTCCCTGGGATTTTGGGGGGGCGCTGGAGAGAATTTGGACTCGAATCTGAAGGAGTTGCGGCAGGGTGGTGTTTGCTCAAGTGCTGGGAGTCGGTAGCGTGTGTGTGGGCCTGCTTTTGCAAGCTAGCTTCAGTTTAGCTTAGGAACACACATGCTCCTAAGAAGGGGACGTTGATGTGGTATGTGATCTTGCACATCAGACAGAAAATATGACTTGATCGCCCACTACCCTTACTAGGGTGCATTCGAAGTGCATCGGCTGAAATGAGCAAGAATGCGATATGAAAGGCAGACAACTTATCAAAATCTCGCAAATTATTGCGTTGTCACAGCTTTATCTTGCTGTGGTTGTTTGATGGAAGAACACAAGGAAAATCTTAAATTATGTTCTAGATGGCTTCCATTTTAATTTCATCGTCCTGTTTGTTTGAATTTAATTACTTGAATTGAATTTGTTAGCAGATTTCGCAGGAAGATGCGATTTATTGAGTTGGGGGAAAGCAATAGAAATTCTATTCCTTGTTCTCACAGTCCATGTGATCCTAGACTCTAACTGTTCATTAACTTCCTGACTGGGGAATATTTGTCCTTTTCTCTTCACTATATTGTTTTGTGAGTTGCTTATCATTTGCTGAACACATTACAATGCTGTTTACCTCAGTCTGCAGCTTGGAGACCTTTATGTGGAGATAAATGGTTGCATAGGGGGAGGGCTGGAAATCAAAACGATGCATTCAGTTGACGTGTAAGCTCAGTCTCCATTATTGCTGAAGAGCTGTGGAGGCTTTTTCACTTACATTCTTTAGTTTTCCTGGGCAGCTTAATGTGTGTGTTTGACAATGCTATTTGTTACTGGCCTAAATCTTCCCTCCTGTCTGATAATCTGTAGATGAGTTTAACCTATTTATAGTGGCAACTTGCATGCCCCCCTTCCCCCTCGATCTCTGCATTTTTAATGAAGTCTGCATCACCACCCTAGCAGTGCATTCTCACACCTTGCTCTGCTTTTCCCCACGGTCTGATGAAAAGTGTGTTCGATTGTGTTTGATTAGTGTGGTTTAAAAAAACGACAACAAATCTGTAACTAGCCTTTCATCTCAGACCCTGTCTGTATTTTTAAACATAACCATGTTTAAATACGGCTTGCCCTCAGCTGCCTTATAGAATATTGCTTCTCACTTGTCTGGAAAGAAAAGAAACCTGTTGGGTAAATAAGTGTTAGCTTAGGGCTTCTAGCCTAAGACTTTTTTTCTTGAAATTTCCCACCATTACCACCTCGAGTGCAGTTCTGCTTCTACTAGCAACAGTGTAGTGCAAGCATAGGCCCAGTACTAGTATTCTAAACTAGTTTAGTCCTGCTTGGAGGAGTTTAGTGGTGATGAAAACACTAGTGGCAGCTGATGCCTTGTCTACTGGTGGTAACAACGGTGGGAAATAGTAAGGCGAAAAGGCTAGTACAGACAGACTTGGGAATTTACCAAAGTTAAAATAGTTATGACTCCTCATGACTTTTTTCAGTCCACACAGGCAGGAGGTATACATATTATTAGGGCTGTCAAGCGATTAAAAAAATTAATCGCGATTAATCGCACTGTTAAACAACAATAGAATACCATTTATTTTAAATATTTTTGGATGTTTACTACATTTTCAAATATATTAATTACAACACAGAATACAAAGTGTACAGTGCTCACTTTATATTTATTTTTGATTCTAAATATTTGCACTGTAAAAAACAAAAAATGATTTTTCAGTTCACCTCATACAAGTACTGTAGTGCAATCTCTTTATCATGAAAGTTGAACTTACAAATGTAGAATTATGTACAAAAAACCCTGCATTCAAAAATAAAACAATGTAAAACTTTAGAGCATAAAAGTCCACTCAGTCCTACTTCTTGGTCAGCCAATCACTCAGACAAACAAAGTTGGTTACAATTTGTAGGAGATAATGTTGCCTGCTTGTTTACAGTGTCACCTGAAAGTGAGAAAAGGTGTTCACATGGCACTGTTGTAGCTGGCATTGCAAGATATTTATGTGCCAGATGCGCTAAAGATTCATATGTCCCTTGTTGCTTCAACCACCATTCCAGAGGACATGCTGATGATGAGTTCTGCTCGATAATGATCCAAAGCAGTGCAGACTGACGCATGTTCATTTTCATTATCTGAGTCAAATGCCACCAGCAGAAGGTAGATTTTCTTTTTTGGTGGTTTGGATTCGGTAGTTTCCGCATCAAAGTGTTGCTCTTTTAAGACTTCTAAAAGCATGCTTCACACCTTGTCCCTCTCCGATTTTGGACAGCACTTCAGATTCTTAAACCTTGGGGTCGAGTGCAGTAGCTATTTTTAGAAATCTCAGATTGGTACCTTCTTTGCGTTTTGTCAAATCTGCTGTGAAAGTGTTCTTAAAATGAACATGTGCTGGGTCATCATCCAAAACTGCTATAACATGAAATATATGCAGAATGCAGGTAAAACAGAGCAGAAGACATACAATTCTCCCCCCCTCCCCCAGGAGTATAATCACAAATTTAATTGACGCATTATTTTTTTAATGAACATCATCAGCATGGAAGCATGTCTCCTGGAATGGTGGCCGAAGCATGAAGGGGTATACGAATGTTTAGCATATCTGGCATGTAAATACCTTGTAATACTGGCTACAAAAGTGCCATGCAAATGCCTATTCTCACTTTCAGCTGACATTGTAAATAAGAAGTGGGCAGCAGTATCTCCCATCAGTGTAAACAAACTTGTATGTCTTAGCAATTGGCAGAATGAGAAGTAGGATTGAGTGGACTTGTAGGCTCTAAAGTTTTACACTGTTTTGTTTTTGAGTGTAGTTATGTAACCAAAAAAAAAATCTGTATTTGTAAGTTACACTTTCACAATAAAGAGATTGCACTTGAGTACTTGTATGAGGTGAATTGAAAAATACTATTTCTTTTATCATTTTTACAGTGCATATATTTGTAATCAAAGATAATATAAAGTGAGCACTGTACACTTTGTATTCTGTGTTGTAATTGAAATCATTATTGAAAATGTAGAAAAACATCCAACAATATTTAATACATTTTAATTGATATTCTATTGTTATAAGTACGATTAATTGCTATTAATTTTTTTGAATTAACTGCGATTAATTGACAGCCCCACATATTATATCATAGTTTGGCCACATCCATGATTAAACCTGGTTATTTTTGTCGCATAGAGATATTTTATTCTTCTTTTCTTGGAATGAACACATTCCTAAATGGCTCTTCATTATTGTTTTTCCTTGATACCAAGTGCTATCTGTAGGCTTGGATAAGGCTGCCTTCTGGAATTAATACTGTGTAATGTGCACAGTTAAGTTTCATATTAGAATATTATTGAAATTTGGAGGTCTTTTCCAGGGTACTAATAGGACTCTTTCAGTCTTTTTGAGAGCGAGGAGGAGGAAGTGGGGATAGGATTAAACTAGACTTAATTAATTTGACATTTTTGCACTATGGAACAAATACATCAGACTTTTGTATTCTGGCCTCAGCCACTAGAGCATCTAGATAACTTATAGTAGTTGGAATTTACAGTAAAACCTTACTAATCGGGACACTGGATAATTCACAGACAAATTAGTATTCTCCCTTCACGCCTCAGCAGAGATTTAATAATGCCATAGCAAAGTCTCAGTCTTAGTAATTAAGACTTGTGTTTTACAGAACACTCACTGGTGTGTTCTAGAGTATTGCAAATAATTAGAACTAAACTGCAATTATCAGATTACATTAACTTTATTTTGTAAAGGACTGTCCTCTTAAATTTATTTGCTTAGTTGGTATGGGCTTTGTCAAACTCCCACTAAAGTCAAGGGAAAGAGTCCTGTTGACTTCAGTGGAACTTGGATCAGGCAAAATCCATTAATTCATATTAGGCTTCTAATCATTAGTGGGAGTTGATGAGGTTCTACCATATTTGAGGATCTTAGATTATGAACACTATTGTTCATAATAACTCTGAGGTAGAGTGTTATTCCCATTTTGCAGATGAGGAAACTGAGGCACAAAGGATGAGGGTAAGTGACAGGCGGGCCAGGGGGCCATGGCCCTCCCACTTTTTGAAAGTGGATGGACCAGGCCTGTCCATTTTTCACCATGGGACCCCACCCCCTTCCCCAACTCTACCCCCCGAGGGCGCCCAGGCAGTTGTGGGGAGCCGCGCAGACACTCCACCTGCCTGGGATGTGGGGGGCTTGAGAGCAGCCCCCGACCCGTGTTCCCGCCCCCCAGGCTCCCTACCCAGGGCAGGTGGAGGGTCCGTGCTGGCTCCCCACACCTGAGTGGCTGCGCAGCTCTTACCATGACTGGGCTGCAGCTCCAAGGCCCCATCCCTCGGCCTGACTAAGACCTATACGGGTAGTTGTGAGGAACCTGGGTCCCTCCACCTGCCCTGGGCGGCTGGCTGAGGGGTGAGGCCTCCAGGGGAAGAGGGGGTGGGGCCTCTGGGGGGAAGAGAATTGGCCTTGAGGGGGGTGGGGCCTCTGGCCCCCCCCCCCCTTTTGGGAAGGCTCCGCCACCCCGGTAAGTGATTTATCCAAGGTGTTGCAGCAGGCCAGTGGTATTGCTGGGAATAGAACCCAAGAGTCAGCTGCTAGACTCAGACCCCCATGCTTCTGCTGGAAAAACAGTGGTAGAAAAGGCTGAAAAGGTTCCAAGAGGCTTTTGGCCACCCAAGGCGGCAGAAGTCGGTCAGATTTGGCATGTTTTGCCAAAATACAGAGAGGTAGGAAAGGCCTGGTATGAAAAGCACCATGATGAAAAGGCAGCTGTTTGCTTTGTAACTTGCAGGACATTTTAAAAATCATTCTGATTATATATTTTTTTGGAAAATGTACTGTTACACTGTGCAGCTTTCTTGGCTCTCACAGACCCATTATGGAGAGAGGCCTAATTTCTGTTGCTGAGGCCACGCCTTTGCTTCAACTAAGTAAGGTTACATTCCAGAGTTGAGCACTTCACAAATTCCTCAATAGGAGACATTTCAGATAAGTGCCAACTATTCTGGCTATTGCTAGTGTGATTGCATTCTGATCCAATGGAAGTAGCACAATAAGGAGATCTCTTCTCATTAGGGCATTGCTTGAAAAATCTGTCCTACACCCACTAGCCTGAGGACTGAGCCTATTAGCCACTGTGAGAAATACTTGCAGCCTTCTCCCGCTTCCCAAGAGGCACCGATACACTTCAAGTTGTTTCCATTAGATATGCATATCTTTTTTTGGTCCCATAGTAGGGATGTTTGTATTTATTTAGTTCTGTAAAATACAAAACCTCAATTTATTAAACTTTCTTTGCATTTTTTCTTCCTTCCTTTCCCCTTCACTCCTCTTCTTTCACTCCTAACACAATAGAGCTTGGTATCTTTTCCACCATCTCTTTTGATGTTTGCTCTGTTTCCTCTCTTGCCCCCAATTTATAGCATTCCTTTCTCATTTTCTGCCATTGTTTGATGTACTCCCTACTTCCTCCATGTTCTTTTTCAATCTTTCCCGCTTCCCCATGCTCTTATTCTCCCCACTGTACTCTCAGCTTCCTACCATATGCATGTAACTTGTTCACCGGCGCTCATTCAGCTCCCCCTCCTGCAGCAAAAGGTTCCTGCTTCCCCTTCAGTAAAACAATGATTAGAGCCCTGCTCCTCAGCAGCTCTTCCAGGGTCCCATCTCCTTCACAGCTCCCCAGCCTGGGCATCTTCTGGTTCCTACACTTGTAGGGTCCCTGCTCCTGAGCAGCCCCATATTTTCCTTCCTAGCTCTTCCATCAGCCTGGGAGGGAGGCAGGCATTTATGCTGCTCTGTGCCTATGCAGCCTGGTCAGGTGCCCCATCTAGAACTTGCACCCTGGACCAAGTGAGCTTTTTATCCTGTGCATTAGAGCGGTGCTACAATAGGAACTTTTGTGGTTCATTCAAGAAGGGCTGCATTGAGGTGGGGTGTGCAACGAGCCCTAAGATTTCATTTCCCTTCATCTTCAGAATGGAAACTGCATATAACTCTGTGCTTCAGTCTGATCCCACCTGTGATTAGATCACACTTGTGACATCTCCAGATGTTATGCAAATCCTCAGTGTATCATATGAGACGTGCCCGTTACTTAGCTTTCCCTTCCTGCGGAAGGGAACAGTCTGAGTGAGAAATGAAAGGAATTTAGGGAGGAGAACCAAGTCAATATCAGCATCAGCACTTCTGCCATTGCAAGAAGTTCCTTAACATCCTAAACAACCTTAACAGCACAGAATCTTAATTGCACATCCCATCCACAAATAGCAGCTCCAGAGCACTACACCTCTTACCAACCTGATACAGGTTAGTTCACAGGCCTAGAAAACATGAATTATGAGGGAAGATTGAAAAAATTGGGTTTATTTAGTCTGGAGAAGAGAAGACTGAGAGGAACATAGCAGTTTTCAAGTACATAAAAGGTTGTTACAAGGAGGAGTGAGGTAAACTGTTCTTGTTAACCTCTGAGGATAGGACAAGAAGCAATGGACTTAAATAGCAGCAAGGTTGGTTTCGGCTGGACATTAGGAAAAACTTCCCAACTGTCAGAGTGGTTAAGCACTGGAATAAATTGCCTAGGGAGGTTGTGGAGTCTCAGTCACTGGAGATTTTTAAGAGAAGGTTAGACAAACTCCTGTCAGGGATGATCTAGGATAATACTTAGTCCTGCCATGAGTGCAGGGGACTGGACTAGATGTCCTCGCGAGGTCCCTTCCAGTCCTATAATTCTGATCCCTAACTCCCCTACAGAAGCACTCACTGACTCATGGACTCCTACAGTGGTTCCTTAGAGGACCTCCTGTTTAAGCACTGACCTGGCCTGACCCTGCTTGGCAATCAGACAGTTTGTCTGGCTGAAAGTAAGAGAGACAGAACAGCTGATTAAGAAAAAAAAATCCACAGTGACTATAATATGACTGCTATGGATGATATAAAATAGTGACATCAAGAAGAGAGCTCTATGTCCCCTGTAGAGATGGGAGGGGAATTCACTACTTTTAATGCGAGGAGGGAGTTGTGTAGAACAAGTGGAAAGAGGGAACAGAGTCTGTTTGATGATGAAGACAGGGACAATGGGAGTCAGGAGTCCTAGGTTCTATTCCTGACTCTACCACTAATTCACCATGTAGCTTTAACTTCGGCGCCCCAAGAGGAAAACAGTGGCTCTTCTTTACTATACCGGTTCTGCGACATCTGTAAAAGGGTAATGAAACACATTCTCTCCCCCCCCCCACCCCCCTCCACACATACAGCATGAAAAGTCCTACGGACAGTAAATGCAAAGCATTACTGAGCAGATATTGATGTGTAGTCTTAGCTTTAATTTCCAATTAAAACCATAATGTTTGCAGAGGAATGAGACACGGTGCTTCTCAGATGTAAACCTTTCAAGTTCGGGATTACCTCCCAAAGATCACATGTCCATTTTGCATATTAAAAAGCAACGGGCACCATTACCTAAAAGTGAGAGATCACACTCTCCCCTTCCTGAGGCTGCAAATATTGCCAAAGCATCCTCTTCAGTACTTAGCAGGGGGCCCTACCGTGCTTAACAGTGCTGCTCTGGCAGAGTGTGGGGTAAAACCAAAGGGCTCTGAGATGGAGCCCTCTTTTTCAAATGCAAAATAATTCTGGGAGTGAAGGAGTGATATAAGGGAGCTGTGTTGAAACCTCAAGGCACCCCTGGAAAAAGGAAAAGCTTCACACCAGTCAGTGACAATCTGAAGTATACTTCTTATCTGAATACACTGTATGCATACAAAGTACTCCCCATTCACCTACCCCTGCACCCAATTAACCTGCTAAGAAGCTTGGAAAAACAGGACCCTCAGTCACTTTATGGGCCCTTATGCAGTTAAGGCCGGTTGTAACCTCCCAGCTAAAATTAAGATCTCCCTGTTCATAGAGAGCTTGTTTTCAGATGGCTCTGCTGAACACTCCCCCAGGTGCTGTTTCTCACTCAGAATGGTGCAATCATGATTCTGTCAATGTGTTGTTTTGAGTAATGTGGGAAAGGGAAGAAAGAAGATTAAGAACTAGTTGTAACATGGGTGAAGTTCTCCCTCTGTGAAGCCCCCTTGTGACCCTGCTCTTAGCTTAGGTCAGTGGTATTAGTGGTACTGCCATAGGATTCTGAATTCTTGTGCCTTGTCCTAAATCCCTGCATGTGATTAGAAAGAAAGTGACTTTTTTCCTTTTGGTTATATCTGAATTTTCTCACCTCATCCTAATGTTGCTTTCTTCCTAGTCACCCATGTTCGATGGTAAAGTCCCCCACTGGCATCATTATACTTGTTTCTGGAAGCGGGCCCGACTCGTGTCCCATGCAGATGTTGATGGCTTCCCTGAGCTCCGATGGGAAGATCAGGAGAAAATCAAAAAAGCAATTGAAACTGGAGGAGTCGCAGCAGGTAAGTAAAGCAAAAGTGATGTTTACGGAGATTCAAGATGCCATGTCCATTTAGAACCATCCTATTTATACTTGAAAGGATGTGATTATGGGTACTGGGTTTTTTGCTCACTGGCTGTGATGTCCCTTCAGATGGAGAAATCAGAACAATCCCTGGAACTTTCCTGATTCTCGATAGTGACTAGGAGACTGTGTATACTGAACCCTGTGAAATAGTTAGAAACAGTCTAAAAAGCAAGGACACTGCATCACTAAATATACTTTATTCACTTACTTGACTAGTGTAGTTTAGCTTCAATTAGCTGGTACTAGTAAATGATCTGTAATACACTATGGAAAAGTAGTGATGTCTTAGTAACCTGAGACCTACTGTGAAATCGTCACACCTACCAATATATCAGCTCCAGAAAACATTAGTAAGGATTGTATAAGCACTGTATTAAGTGTTCAGTGCAATTAACTAAATGGTCAGGGAAATGATCAGATCCAGATTGGAAGTGGTTGGGTATGTATAGGGTTCCTAGGTGATACAGTAATACAAATAATTAATAATAGAGCAGACTGAAGCCATCAATGTCCGTACAACACAGGAATTGTGGGAGGTTTGTAGGTTGAAGTCAGCCTCTCTGGCATGTAACATCATATCAAAGAAATGCATCTTGTATATGAAAAGGAGAGTTCTGTTTGAGGTGTGGCTATTTGGTTGACTCCAGTTCTGGTCAGGTCTTCAATAGCAATATTTATTTTATTTTATTTTATTTTATTTTATACTACTTCTAGAACAGACAGACAATGAAGCAGTGAATTTGCACTGTGGTTCTTTTGGGTAATGTTGATCACTAATTTGGCTCCCCGACCACTGAGGTCTGAGTATAACTGTTCTAAAATATACAGTTACATAAGCAGACTTCCACAGTTCCTCCTTGCACACGTACAGAACACTTGACTTTTCCCAAGTGCTTTTTAAACATTAACTGGTTAATCCTCACAGTATGAATGTGAGCTATAGTTAAGCCATATCCCTCTTGACATATGGGGATACTGAAGCACAAAGGTGGTGATTTACCTCAGAGCAGCATATCAGCTCAGTGACAGAGCTGGAATTAGAGCTAGAGTCCTCACTTTACTCCTTTGGCAGGTCAGGCTTGTGTTCTTCAGAGTAGAAAGTTCATCTCTCATAGGGGTTGTTTTGTAAATGTGAAGTTGCAGGGACTAGTGTTGTTGCAGCATTATATGCTTCTTGACAAGTGCAGGTGCGAGACTAAGATTGTCTTCCCCAGTAGTGAAGCCTGAGGTATAGGTGAGTAACGTTCGAAGTTTATTATGAGTCTGCAGAGTTCCTAACGCTTCCTGTAGAATTCTGAATTGCAGAGAGAGTGTTGTGGGTTTTGTAAAAAGCGACAAAGAGTCCTGTGGCACCTTATAGACTAACAGACGTATTGGAGCATGAGCTTTCGTGGGCGAATACCTACTTTGTCAGATGCATGTAGTCCACTACATGCATCTGATGAAGTGGGTATTCGCCCACGAAAGCTCATGCTCCAATATGTCTGTTAGCCTGTAAGGTGCCACAGGACTCTTTGTCGCTTTTTACAGATCCAGATTAACACGGCTGCCCCTCTCATACTTGTGGGTTTTGTCACTGTACTTATTTCTCTAAATGTACTGGGCTGTGGCTGATTTGGCTTTGTTTCACAGCTAGTCTCTCACTATGTTTGTGCTGATTTTGGGGGAATGATAAACAGTTGGGGAGACTTTTTTTTAAGCAATAAAATGTACTTTAGAAGTTTAATAGTGTTTTTGCCTCTGTTCTCCAGGTAAAGGGACTGACCAGGAGGGAGGTGGCAAGGCTGAGAAGAGTTTAAATGACTTCGCTGCAGAATATGCCAAGTCTAACAGAAGTACCTGCAAAGGTTGTGAACAGAAAATAGAAAAGGTAGAGACACGCAGCTATTGGGTTTTTTTCCCTTCCAGTCCAGGGCAACACAGTTAATTCCATGAGTTCTGAACTATTGTTCTTTCTGTTGTTCTCCTTTTATATTATGGGTTTAAAAGTTGCATTACTTTCTCAGAAGAAATGCTCTGTTCTGAACAATTTGTCAACCCAAAGCTCTTCCATGCAGTAAGGTCTCAAATGTGACCTCTTCAGAGCCTGGGATTTAGACCTGCTGACTCTTCCTTCTGTAAAGGAAAGAAAGCATTTAATTGGTCCAGGCATTGGAGCTGATTGGCAGATTACTGCTGGTGTTCCTGCAGAGGAATAGTCTGGAGAGAAGCTTTGGCGTACTGTAAATGTGTTTTTGTTGAGGAAGGCCAATGGGTACTGCAGCTCTCCACTGACCCATCCCATCACTGTTTTGTAGGGTATGTCCTGTTCGTCCATATACAGGTATTTAAGAAATGCTGGCAAAATAAGATTCTGAACCTGCAAGTACTTGTTAATGTGAATAATCCCACTGATTACTCTTATGCATAAATTTTCACGTGTGTTTGCAGGATTGGAGTCCAAATTTGTTTTTGAAATGAGGATATCTGAGTGATTGTTTTGAATAGTATAGGCTGAACTGTAATTCAGAATACGATCTGGTTAGAAATCAAGCTGACTCTGGGTCAGACTTCATTAGTCCTCACACATTAATTTCTGGAGAACCAAAGTTTTATAATTTAAAATTCCTTGCATGGAGCCTGATCCTGCAGGATTTGCTTGCTTGACCTCTGTATGGCTACTTGCATGAGTAAAGGTTGTTGGATTGGATCCAAAATGTGGTTAGCTATTTTTGAGTTATTACTGAGCAAAAATTACTTGACTGAATTTTATTCTTTGCTCAGACTGGTTATGGGATTTCCCACCATTTTTTTAAGTAGTAGTAAGTATGGCCTGAGACTAAAAGTGAAAAGTTTAACTCAAAAAGGGAATTTTCAGAGTACCGGAAACCAGGGGGATTAGAATGAAAATAAGGATGTAAATTTCAGCATGTGACTGCTAGCAGGCAATTGGTGGAACAGTTTTTGCTACTCCTGCTATTTAAGAAGCATTACTTTCATTATAAAATCACCAACCTATTTCTCTGAATTAACATTCAAGTCCTTCCCAGAGCGGCATCACACCACGCTTGTACTGTTGGTTTTTCTCTGCTTCAGGGCCAGATCAGAATTTCCAAGAAGATGGTGCATCCTGAAAAGCCCCAGCTGGGAATGATAGATAATTGGTACCATCCTGACTGCTTTGTCAGCCACCGAGCAGAACTGGGCTTTCTCCCTGCATTTGGAGCCAGTCAGCTCCAGGGCTTTGGGATGTTGAAAGCAGAAGATAAAGAAGCTCTGAAAAAGCAGCTGCCTGCCATGAAGAGTGAAGGGTATGTGGGGGATGTAAGAGAGCCTGCTGGCTAGAAGATCCATGAAGACACACTGCATGTCTTCACAAATTCCATGTTTTATATAGATAGGACTTTTTAACCTCTGTCATACCATTTATTGTTTGTATAACAGTAGTGCCTAGAGGCCATAATCGGGGATTTAGAGCCCTGTTGCACTAGTGCCTGTGCACAGCTAAAACAAGACCCACCCTTGCCCTTAGGAGCTTGCAATCTAAGTATCTCCCTTGGACATACAGAGAGAATGCAACCAAGCAACCATGACTTTGAAAATTGTCTAATATTTTGTGCCATAAACTAGCAATCATGGGAATGAGTGACAGGGACTGGATCACTTGATGATTACCTGTGTTCTGTTCAATCCCTCTGGGGTACCTGGTATTGCTCACTGTCAGAAGACAGGATACTGGGCTAGATGGACCTTTGGTCTGACCCAGTATGACCGTTCTCATGAGTTCAGTTGTAAAGACTCTGTGCTGCACTGTCTGGTGGTGGTGGTGGTGGTGGTGGTGTTAATGTTGTTCTCTTTATTTCTGATCTGTTGATTGAGAAGTGATTCCTTAAACTTTTGTTCCTCCTGTGCCACTGACCCATTGGGCTGTCACTCACTAGGTGTGGTACTTTTCAGGTGATGCCAGCGCATTCAGTATCTTCTGTCACTGTCCTATACCTGTTCTTCCTTGGCCTTCCTCCCTTAGGCACCCACTTCAGTGCTTGCTTAGCATGTCTCCCATCTTCCATAGGGAGTATGTGTCCCAACCACCTGAGCTTTCTTTGATATTTTCTAACGTGCCCTGCTCTGTCAGCTCCCTTGCTCTCGCATTTGTTGTTTTGTCTTTCCATGAAATGTGTAGTATCTTCCTCAGCTCTCTCTGACGGGCAGCCTCCAATCTCTTCTTAATAGCCGCTGTCATTGGCCAAGCCTCTGCACCATACAGTAGCATGCTCAGTACAGTCACATGGTATAATCTGACCTTTAGTTTGATATGGAGACCTCTGTTTGACCAGATGTTGTTTCACCTTTCAAAAGTGGTGTTTGCTTTTCCTAATCTTGTATGAATATCTTTATTGCACCTACCTTCAAATATATTCAGACTTCCAGGTGACAGACCCCTTCTACCCATTGGACTTCTTTTCCATCCACATAGGCCTTTGCATCTGCTGTCCACTTTCCTACCTTCATAATCTGATTTTTCTCTGCATTTACTTTCCATTCAATTGTTGCTGCTTCCTGTTCTACCTCTGGTATAAGGCAGTCATTCCGTTCCACATCTTATTTATTAAAGCAATGTTACTGGGAAAGTGACGGTCATGTAACTCATCTCTGCTAACCCATTTTACACCTCCTGCAATGTCTTTTGTTACCTGCTTCATCACCCAACCTATGGCTAATGCAAACAGGATTGGTGATAATGTGTACCCTTGCCTAACTCCAGTCACAATATCAAAAGCTTTCTTGAAGTCGATAAAGTTAAGATGGATTTTTGCCAAGCAGTAATTTTTTCAGTGATCTGTTGAAGAGTGAATATCTGTTCACAGCATGATCTACCTGGATAGAATCCAGTCTGTTCTCCTGGTAATATTTTATCCACTACCTTCTTCATTCTGTTCAGCATAACAGTAGCCAATACTTTGCACTGTTATCAATCCCAGGCAATAACTTTGCCAGTTCGTGCACTGAGTAAGATCACCTTTTTTGGCAATGCCATGCTGATACCATCTTTCCAGTCTCGCGGCACTTGTTCTTTCACTCATATTTTGTTAGAGTTTTGTTAGCTGCTCAGTCAGAATTTCACCTCCCACCTGTAATTCCTCTGCTTGAATTCTGTCGACCCCAGGATCTTACCACTATTTGAGGCCTTAGATGGTTGCTTTAATTTCATCAGGTGTGTTTGGTCCTGTAGCGAGGCAGTGGGATACCCCACAGCCCCGCTGAGGGCTGAACCTCCCCTAACACCAACGTGGGCGGAGCTACTGGGTCCGGCGCCCGCTCCTCAGAGGTCACGGCGCCGACCCGGAAGTATAAAAGCCTGCCTGCAGAGCTCAGTGGAGAACAAGCCGCTGGAGAGAGCAGACGTCTGTGGCCGAGCTCCTGCTTGGGAGACAGCAGCAGGCCGCGACCGGCCTGAGGACTCACCAGGCCAGCCAAGCCTACCCCATAGCCGTTACCCCGAGGAGGACGGGCCGAGTCTGTTCCTTTCCAGCTACCCCGAGGAGGACGGGCCGAGCCTGCCCCTTTCCAGCTATCCAGAGGAGGAGCCAAACCTACCCTTCGCTACCTACCCGGAGGAACCGATGCTGGGGGAGACCACCAAGGACACTAGTACGGTCCAGGTACCCTATGAGGGGGAATCTGGAAGTAGCCCGGGGGCAGCCGACCCCAATCTGGCTGCAACACTGCCAGAGCCTATGTTAGTGTGTTGCGGCCAGGATCCCCACTGACAGCAGCGAGTTTCTGCTGCTGCTAGGGCCCCGGGCTGGGACGCAGTGGAGTGGGAGGGCCTGCATCCCCCCTGCCACCCACCCCTTGGGTGGCAGACTCCCCCTTTCCCTGGCCTAGAGAGGCTGGGACCTCTCGCTCATTGACTCAGCCCCTGCTTAAGGGCCTGAGTTCCTGACTATTTGATTGCTGCACCGCCCTGATCTAGGGCCTGGGCCGCTACAAACCCATTGACTCAGCCCCTGCTTAAGGGCCTGAGTTCCTGACTATTGGCTCAGCCCCTGCTTAAGGGCCTGAGCCCCTAACCGTGTGTTTGCTGTCCCACACTACCACCGGACCAGGACTGACGGCAGACCGGAGCGAGGCGGTGGGATACCCCACAGCCCCGCTGAGGGCCGAACCTCGGCCGAGACTTCTACAGGTCCCTTTTCCATTTTTAACTTCTCTTGACCCTGTGCATGGTTGTTGGCCCTGGAGAATTTAATATGGAATGAAAATGTTCCTTCTGTCATCTGGCTTGTTCTTCATGTGTTTTCAACATCTGTCCATCAGAATCTCTGCGATGGTTGGGTTCTTCGAGAGGTCTTTCATTATTCTACAGAGCTGCTTGAAATCTCCTCTCTGTGCTGTATCTTCTTGTTCTGCAGCCTTCTCCTGAACCCAGGCTTCTCTGTCTTGCCTGCATCTCATCTTTTTTGTCCTTTTTCTTTGTTTCTTGCATCTGCCTCTAAGAGTTCTGCCTGTGTCTTGCACTGTTCCTTTTTTGCCTTAGAGCTTTCTGCTTCTCAGTCGCTGCCCACGTTCCAGGTGTAAACCATGCATCTTTCTTCCATCCTCTCCAGTAGTCCACTACTTCCTCTGCTGTCTCAACTACCATCTTCTTCCACTTTGACCATCTGTCTTCCGGACTTTCATCAGCCTGGTCCTGTAAAACACTGAAATGGTTGCTAAATTCAGTCTGGAGTCTGATCTGAGTTTTTGTCTTTGAACATCTCTATTGCTGTAACACTCTTTATCCATCTTCCTGATCGTTTTGAGTTTAAGCTGTAATGTGGCCACTAAAAGATAATGGTCTGAGCCAACATCTGCTCTTCTGACATCCCTCAAAGAAGGTGTCCATTTTTTACATATACACACGGTCTATCTGGTTGACAGTTGCATTGTCTGGTGATTTTCATGTAAGCTTATGAATCCTCTTGTGCTGGATATGACTGCCTCCTGTTTTAGGGTGTTTGTGTCAGAGAGATTCAAGAGCTTTTTTGCCATTATTAGTTCAGATGCCTTCTGCTACTATGGCCTTGACTTCTTCCCAGACAGTACTGTTGCCAATTTATGCATCAGAGTTGCCTGTCATCAACTTGGAAGTGCCTAGCTATGACATCAAGACTTACATTCTATAAGCAGGTGCAGCATCCTTTTCACTGTCACCTGCTCATTTTGTTGGTGCATGTTCTTGGATTATTGTACACTTGACATGTCTTGTTTGCAGCCTGGCTGTAGTTGTTCTGTCATTCACTGGCTTCCACGCCAACAGAGTCTTCGCTGTGATTTTATCCAGCACAATTCCTACACCTCTTTCATGTGTTGCTCCTCCTGAGGATAAGATTGTAGCACCATCAGCCGCAATCTTGCTACTCCCTGCCCGTCTCATCTCACTGACACCAAGTATGTTCAGGTGGTATTTTTTCATTCTTATTTCTTGTGTAACCTCTGCCAGCTTTCCCATGCAAGGGGACATTCATTCCACATGCCTACTCTTGTTACAGATTTAGTTGTCAGGATTTGAGATCTCAGAATTTCCGCTTCCTTCCAGCTTTCATTGAGATCTGTCATACTTGTGTCTTGGGCTCCATCTACACTGACTGCCCTCAAGTTTTGGTTTCACTGAACTGTTTTCTGTTGTGGATAGGTTTTACTGAGCGGGTCACAAACTCAACTGCAGAACCCCCTTTTCTTTTACTGTGCTTGGAGTCATCACTGTTGCCAACAGAGGCAGAGTCGGAATTGATTGTCAGTCTTTTTTTTTTTTGCCTTGATCACTGATCTGTGAGACAAAAATTGAATCTAATTAAATTTTAACTTACCTTGGGTAATCTGGCATGATTAGACGCATCTTTTTTTACTTACTCTTCAGTGGTAAGATTGAAGTATTATTACTCAGTATTCAGCATTCCAGCACAATACATATACAAGATACCTTTTGAAAACTGATATCTAAAGGCAGAGCACCTGCCATTACTAACTGCAGCATTTGTGAGGAATGGAGGAGGGGAAATAACCTTATCTTACAGGTCAGCGGTGGGCAACCTGCGGCTCGCAGGCTGCATATGACCCGCAGGTTGCCCACCACTGCTACAGGTAGTTCATAGGGATGGCTTGACAGCACTAGGCAATCTTATGTCTTTGTTACTGAAGATTTTGGATAGTTACATTGATTAGGAATATGCTGTATGACAGGGGTTCTCAAACTGGGGGTCACGAGGTTATTACATGGGGGGGTCGTGAGCTGTCAGCCTCCACCCCAAACCCCGCTTTGCCTCCAGCATTTATAATGGTATTAAATATATTTAAAAGTGTTTTTAATTTGTAAGGGGGGTTGCACTCAGAGGCTTGCTATGTGAAAGGACACCAGTACAAGTTTGAGAAACACTGGTCTGTGCTATACATTACTTAAGTCCCTCTCATACCAGTCTGCTCACCTTCCTAACCAATGCTTTCCCAGATGCAGTGAATTCTCAGCATATCTGAGTTACAGTTCGTCGATTGTGACGAACACAATTATTGCTAGGTAGTGCCAGGGAATTGGCCATCTTTACCCTTATGAGCTTTTACCATTCTCAGGTGCAGAGAGCTGAAAGTCTACATTTGCATGCAGTTTTCAGGTAGGCTTTGTGCTGTGGTATGTGTTCTGCTTTGCACAGAGTAACACATCAGTGTAGTTGGATCAGTATATGACGGGTTTGCTTAGTACCTTTGGCAGAGCATAAAAAGTTTCACTATGTAAATGTTTGCTCTTGTCTGCTTTGGCTCTCCTTTTCAGGGGATTTTGGTAATTCTACTTGAACTATGAAGCATTTACACTCCGAGGCCATGGATTTGTTTGCCAAGTTGCTGTATAAATAAAATATGAACCTAGAATCACAATGGAAAATAATTTAGGCTGGTGATGTAGGGTGCAGCAAACTGAGGTCCCATACCAAGGTTTCTGACCCTGTCGTCTTTGTTCATGTAGAGGTTGGACAGCAGCAAACGCTGTGGGCATGAAGGTGCCAAATCCAGCTAGTGTGCCAGCTAGTCTTTCAACTCTAGTACCTTTTCTCCTGCTGTTCATGCTAGGTGGTCAAGCCACGGGTTCTGAGGATCAGCCAAGAAAATAGCTGTGCATGTAGAAAAGGAGTCTAGCAAGCATTGGGAGTAATGTAGAATTCCCTTGCTTTCTCGCTGCTGGCCTTTTGCAAAGAGATAGGAAGAAATTCTCTTGAAGCCCAAAACTGGCGTGATTGACTGGAGAAGCTAATGTCCCAGAAGACTTGCCTCACACGTTAGTTCATGCAGGAGAAATGAACTGAACATCTTTGTCTCTGATGCACCTTTTATTAAACCAGATGAGATTTTAACAATGAAGCCTTTGGCTTCCCTTTTCAGAGCTCTGTTTGGACCCAAATGTTGTGTCTGTGACTGGAATACTGCACGCATCCTTTGCCCTTCCATCGCACCCTCCATTGAGGAGCTCAAGGAGCATTGCACACATTCTGGAACTAAGTCTTGCAGCACTTCTTGTGAGGGACACAACTACAGATTGCATATTACAGATTGTGGGGTGGGGGACTGAGGCACAGAGTTTATAGCGAGAGCTGGCTGGGAGTCTTCTATCTAAATAAAATGTTTATCAAAAATGGGAGGAAAACTTTATGCAGCTGTTCCCTGTCTTTCTGGTCTGCTTTAGTTGAAGCTTTCCCATGGTCACACAATGATTCAGTGGCAGAGTTGATGCTGGAACCCAGATCTTGAGAGTCCCAGCCCAATACAATCTAAGCACAACACCCAATTTTCCTGTATGTGCGCTGGGTTTTCATTTCTAGTCTTAGGGGTGTAAAGTAGGTAGATGGATTTGCTGGACACTTTGCCTGACAATACCACATTGCAACAGCACAAGAAAAAGGTTGTGGCTGTGTGCTAAAAGGTTCACCTTGTAGGGAGCACTGATGCTTAGTGCTGAGGGCTACATTGGCAACCTGCCAAAAGTCTGTGGGCTGCACCTCATTTGAATATCAGCTAGCATATGTTCTAAATATATAAAGAGTAAATGCCCACAGCCCTAGAATTCTCTTGTACATTTATCTTTTTAGAGTAGAAATTGCTGTTTGTTTGAGGCAGCTTTTACTGGGGAAAGAGAGGCTGCCTTCCAGATGCCACTGGGCAAGGTTGGTTTAACTGCAGTGTTATATTAACCACTCACACAAAGAACAAGAACAATCAGTAGATGCTTTGAAGAGGGCAGACTGAGGTGATGGTCTTTGCATTTCTCCCTTTTCAGACTGGCTGCTGGTTTTGCCCCAGAATCTCCACTGCTGTTAGTATTTTTCATATGTTCTTCTCTCCGCAAGGAAGATCTGAGCTTGGATGGCTGATGTGGTGATCAGAAGAGCCAGGATACAGTATGCCAGTCCTTCTTAGCCCTCTTCCTCCATCAGCTTTCCAAAAGTTTAAATAAACCCCTTGTATCCGGTAGGAAGGTGAGGAGAAAGTGGAACATTTCTGGTGGTGGCTTATGTCAGTTGGTCACGGGCGCCAGTCTTTTTAAGCAAGCCTCTTGCTATCTGCTGTCCAGATGTTAACTTATGACCTACATTAATTCCTGTACCAGGAGAGAGTAATCCAGTGCTGCATATGACTGAGGAGAACCATCCAAAGACTTCATGAGCTGATGGAATGTGTGGGCACAGCGCCTTGACTGCAGTGCCTTTCAGTGGTGTATTAGGCTTCTGGCTATTCATGTGCTGACTCTGATTGCGGGGGAAAGTCTGATTACTACACAAGAGTGTTGCTTAACTTTCCCCTTGCCAAAAAGGAGACATTTTAGATATTAGCCTGCTGATTTAACAAAGCACTTGAGCATGTCCCTGAACGTTCAACACATACACCTCCACCCCGATATAACGCTGTCCTCGGGAGCCAAAAAATCTTACCACGTTATAGGTGAAACCGCATTATATTGAACTTGCTTTGATCCGCCGGAGCGCGCAGCCCGCCCCCCGGAGCGCTGTTTTACTGTGTTGTATCTGAATTCGTGTTATATCAGGTCGCGTTATATCAGGGTAGAGGTGTACTTCTTCCCTAGTCAAAGAATGGAATGAGCTGAAGCACAAAGTGCTTTGCTGAACTGGGCCTGAGCTGATAACTTTTTGCACAGGCTAGGTTTGGTGCAGGTGACAATTTTGCAGAACTTCCAAAAGACTTCAATCGTTGCAGCTAGTACATAAAACCTACTGCCCCATGTTAGGAGGTCACCAGAGAGGTTCCTGGCTTGGCTCACTTGGTGAAGGGACTGGATGGACTCATTCACCCTGGTGGCAGTTGAAGGCCAGGTTTTCTCTTAGTTTGTGCTTTTCTTGATATTTCAGCTATCCAGGTGAGTGAGTTGCAGGGATGTTGGAAGGCTTCTTTTGTGAAACAAGTGATCTCCAGAATGTGGTGCAGCTTTTCTGCCTCATTCTGGGCCTCCCAGCTGGAGGTGATGGTTGGTGTGCAGGCATTTTACTGTGTAGCCATCTGAGGCCAACAAACCCTAGTCAAACTAATGTCCTCACTTATCTGAACATGTGACTCAATTGGAGAGAGATTGAGAGGAAGTGAATGCTTTCACGTGCTAATTTGGTAGACGGTGTTGAGGGCTCTGGGGATTAGAGATTTCCCCCACAAGTGTGATTCCTAATTAGTAACAGATGCTTTTTAAAGGGCTGCTGCTGAGTCGCAGTAAGTGAAACCAAAGTTTGGCTAAACTCTAGCCCCTTGACAGGTTTTATAAAGTCTAAATGCAATGGAAATCGCTTCTCGGCTCTCTGAGCTGTGGCGCAAACGTAGTTTCTATGAATCTTTGAATTTTCATAAAAATGGATCCTTTAATATAAACATTTCCCTGCATTATTTACACCCCAAACACTTCAAGATTGGGCTAGTTTATTTCCATTGTCAAAGCTGACAGAAGTGCAAAAAGAGTAAACCATGTAAAATGGTGATAAGTAGTTTCATAGAGAATGTTATTTTCACAATCTGTGGTGGTGGTGGTAAAAACACAGGTACAGTCACTTTGTTCTTAAAAATACAACAAACATGGCCTTGAATGATAGGGGACCTGGAAGAATTAAACCAGAAGTCAAAAGTACTGGTATATGCATCCTATCTTGAGCTCTGGGTTATTGTGGGTCTGTCTCCCTTGAGCTGTGTGAAATTCCCCTTTTCTCCCCAAAAGAGTGAAAACACTGAATTTTGGAACATATGTCAAGTCCACTGTGGCCAAGAAAATGACATGCCTGGATCTGGAAATTTGTAAATTGTCTTCTGTGGGGCCCCTTGTCCTTTTTGAAGTCCCCCAAGTCCTTTATTGGCTTTCTGAACTAACATTTTATACTAGAATTCCCAACAGCCACTGCAGTTCCAGCCAACTTCAGTTAAACTGTTTGTGCAGAATTGTCATAACACTGTGAGAATAGTGTCAACTTTTTCCTATCTGATACTACATGGGTTTTAATCGAGGCCTTTGAAAGAAAACTGGCCTACCAAGGTCATTGTGTTTACCACCCATGACACTTCAAATTCATACAGAATGAAAAGCCAGGTATTGGTGATAAATTATCCACTAATGTCCCTACTGTAAGGAGTTGTATTTATGCCAGCTATTACATTGATCTGAGAAAATATATTGATTCCTCCTGATTTTTTTATTTTTTAAGTGAAGATGTTTCAAATAGTTAATACAGCCCCAGATTAATATCTCCTGAGGCTCTTGGGTGATGCAATTTAATTTTTTTATATGTACTTTTGCCAGTCTGTACAGGTCTCCAGTGGAAAACTGTTTTAAGCAGGCATAGTCTGGTCATGATTTTCCATTGTGGAGTCTAGAATTTTTCAGCAGATAATGCATTTATATTGCATTTAAGATCTAGCAGGAAGGAAAAACGAACTAGCATTGCACCAATCAAAAAGTTAGTCTGTACGAAGTGTTCAGTTTCAATCCACTGTAATCAGACTGAGCTCTGGTAGTTGCTGCCAAAAACTTATGAATGACTTCCCTTTGTGTATGTTTCTCCATTAGAAAGAGAAAAGGAGATGAGGTGGATGGAAATGTGACCTCAAAAAAGAAACAGAAAAAAGAAAAAGACAGAGAATCCAAGCAGGAGAAGCTGTTGAAGGTTTGTTGTTTGAGCTAGCCCAAACTTGTAAAACTTTTTTTCCAAAAGGGAATGTAATGCTGTTGAAAGGTGCTGGCTTGACAGCCATGGCATGTAGAGTCCTATTTATTCACAGCTACAGGATCTAGAGTCTTATTTATTCACACAAGTAGAGTGTGAACCGCAGTAATGCAAGCGTCCCTCATGCTGTCCTGTTAGTATGCTTCATCTGTGAAGTGGTGAGATGCTAGTTCACTATGCAAGCCCATTCAGACCGTGGCCCCTCAGAGATATAAAGACACTTGTGCTGTGGAGCCTTTTTTGCTCCTGATAAGAGAGCACATCATTCCATACGGGTCACCAAAAGGGTACTGGATGGTAGCGCTTTAGGTCCTCACTGTTGGTGGCTGGATTTGAACGGGTGACCTAGAGGTGAAAGTCTCATTGTTGAGAGAACTTGTTTTAGTCCTTTCTATGCCACTTTCTGGCTCCAGGGATGCTATTAAAACTGAATGTTGTTGCCTAAAATCTTGGAGCATATAAAATGTGACAAGTTGAACAGAGACAAGGTGTGGAACTAGGTCAATGAGAGATAATATCACTTGCTCAGTTGCACACTTTTGTGACTCATCTGTTCAGTGCTTCAGTATAAACTTTGATAAATCATAGCTTTGTGTATTTGGTTTAGGAAAGATAGTGGAAAGAATTTCTGATTTGGTTTCAAGAATTTTATAGACATTAAAAGTTTGGCATAGATATTTTTCAAGATAAATTACCAGCAGCTTTTCCTGAAATTGAAGTCTTAATAGTATGGCCATAACACAGCTTACACAGAGAAAAAAGGCCTTTTAGTTTTCTGCTGCTTTATTTTGCAATCATAACTTATTACATCCTTAGCAGAGCACACTATTTTGCAATCTACAGACCAGGAAGGTTTTAACTGCTACAATTCAGCATTCTGAGAATCAGGGTTGGTTTTGGGTTAAACTCTTAAATTCATCATGGTTTTTTTCTTAGTATGATGAACTCATTTGTCTTTTTTACTGAAACTAGAAATTATTTAACGTATGTATCTCCTACCCATTATCACCATGGCACAGAGAAAACCACAGCTAAATACACAGACGACAAATACATGTGCATTATTAGAAATGTATCAAGTGATATTTTAGTGTCCAACATTCTGTCATTATCCATCCCTTTTCTCCCTCTCAATGGAAAGCCCCAAAAGAAGAGTTTCTAGATTTTTCCCTTATTGCCTGGATGACTGACCTTTATAGTCCCTTTTTATAGGGGAGTGTGTGTATGTGGTCTCATAGCTTAAAAGGGGCAGTACAAGTCAGGATTTGTGGGCTCTACTTCTATCATGTGACCTGTTGTATTCATTTAGATGGAATATGTGGGCCTAGAGAGTCAGTGGTGTTTAACATGACCCCGTCACTGTCCAACATTAAACAGAGTTAAACAAGGTTCAGGATTTGGTTTGCAGAGACCTCTGCCTGCTCAGTACTGCTGCAAACATCATAAACATCTTTTTGACTTTTTATTAAAGATACAGAAAAGAAGGAAAAACAGTTAAAGCATTTGAAATGGGAAGTATTAAGTAAGTTTTTCATGTGAACATTTATTGTTCCCTTTCCTTCCAGCTGGATTTTTAAAAGGACTCCCCTAAACTCCCAATTCGACAATCTCTTAGATGGTATTAAAGATGGTGGTAACTGTCCTTCTGAGGAAAAGAGTAGTTAGTTGAGATGGGCTGGAGCAGTTGTTGTTAGTCTGATCCCATTTCCTAGAAACAAAACAAAACAACACACACACACACAGGGGAGAGAAAAGCACAGCAGAGGGAGAAAATGCATCTTGTCTCTCTGGTGCTGACTTTCACTTGCAGCCTCACAGCTGGAAAAACACAGGCACAGCACACAATCTCATCAGTCACACCAAAACCTGACAACTTGTAACCGCATCGGGCTGTTTGCGGGTGTTCCTTTTAGTTGCCTTTTTCTGGTTTGTTGAAAGCCTGACAGTAGCCTGCTTCTTCAGGATTGCTCTTATTGGACAGTGATTGCAAATATCCAACCTGCCAAGTTTTCCTCAACAGGAGCAGACAGAATTGATTTGGAGCATCAAAGATGAGCTGAGGAAAGTCTGTTCCACTAACGACCTGAAAGAGCTGCTGATAGCCAACAAACAGGAAGTGCCTTCTGGGGAATCTGCTGTGAGTTGGGGTTTTATTTTCTTTATGAATGTGACTGTCTGTCTGTCTCAATCCGTGAGGTTCATTCAGAGCCATGTTGCTAATGACAGCCAAAGGTCTGAAGCAAAAGCCTATTGTAAAATCTCAAGAACAGAAAAATCAGTTGGATTGAACACATGGCAGAGGTTTGCAAACTGCTCCATGCCCTGCTGGTGGTCTGTGGGGAGCAGGCTGGGCATGTTGCATCAGATCTACTCTTTCTTCCCAGCAGTTTAATTACACTAAAAGAAGCTAAAACTACATTTAAGATTTTCCTAATGTTACTTATTCAGATAAGTAATTACTGTAGTTGCCACACAGTGTTGTGAATGGGATAGGAAGTGGCATTTGCAATCGGCGTTGGAAGGTGTGAGCCATCTCTAACTTGGAATATTTACATTTCCTAAAACAGTGCTAAAGCCTCAAGGGTGCTGGGGAGGACAGGGGGATCAGGGGTAGGATGGGGTGGGATGGCTACAGTAGGTCTCTAGGATTAAAATGGTCAAGGACCATTTTCCAAGGAGGAAAACTGGATTATTATGGATTATGCATTGACAGCCAAATACTGTGTAACCAAATGTAACACCCATCTTCCAGCAACATTTTTAACTTATTCCAGTGGAAGCATGCTTAGCACTTTACAATAAACAAGCTGTCTCAGACACAGAGCAGAAGCCTTGTCATGAGGAGATGACCGTCCAAAGGCACAAGTGGGTGCCTGTGTGTGGGCAGGCAAACTTAGTGACATGTGGTCAAGGCTTTGTGCCACAAGTAGTTTTGAGGAATGTGCTTTTATTTATAAGCTAGTTATAGATTCAACAAGTAACACTGTTTGTCTTCAGGCCAAGGTATTCAAATATGTGCGAGTTTGCTGGATTCTCTGACACAGTGTGCTGTGTGTGCTTCCACTGTTATCCTGGCATGATTTGTTTGCTTCTGTGTTGCTTTAGATCTTGGACCGAGTAGCAGATGGGATGGCCTTCGGAGCTCTGCTTCCCTGTGAGGAGTGCAAGGGGCAGTTTGTGTTCAAGAGTGATGCATACTACTGCTCAGGGGACATCACTGCCTGGACTAAATGTGTTGCCAAAACACAGACCCCCAACAGGAAGGAATGGATAATCCCAAAGGTAGATGCAGCAAACTTGACTATCTAAAACTTGGACTTTTAATTCTTAAATTACTCTATTGCTCGTGGAAGGGAAGAATAAATATTAATGCCCACAGCTTGGTATTAGAGGGCAGGACATACTGCAGCTTCTGTGCGCCTCTGAGAATGGGAAGAGCTGTTCATAGCTAATGCACAGGGGAGATTGTTTTACAGTAGCAGTGGGACGGAGAGATGTTATTTCTTCCATTCCAGAACTTTGGGCCTCTCCAATTTGTCCTGCTGCTGCAAGAGTGACTTGTGGTTTGTGTCTGTGATTTTTAGTGTAATTCCTAATGACTGGCTCATTTTGCTGTTTCAATTTTTCCTTTCTAACTGAGGCAAGCAATTCTAATTCTGCGCTCTCAGGATTTCAGATGCTAATGTCTGAATTCCAGAACACTGTAAGCAATTATCGTCTTAAAACGAATGGCTATGCAGTTTCATCTGCTTTCCCTCTGAATTGGGAAAAGCATTTTCGGAGACTGTGTTCATGACTTTTAATGATCAGTGCTTTTAAAAACAAAACAACAACAAAAACTACAAATCCTGCAGCAGAAATGGTGAAATATCAACTGAAAAAAATCAAGGTTTTTCCTCCACTTTTGTTTTAAACACTACACTGAGGAGAAAGAGCAAATGTGGCTGGGGAATTAGGTTCTTGTGTAATGGGAAGCAGTGTTCTCTAATAATTAGGGAAGGGGTTGGGGAAGTGCTAGGACTCCTGATTCTCTTCCTGACTGTCACTAAATTGCTATTTTGACCTTGAGCAAGTCACTTAACCTTTCTGTGCCTGAGTTTCCCAATCAGTAAAATGGGATAATTACCTACCTTGCATGGGAGGCTGTGTAGCTTATGTAATGAATTGATTGTGAACCACGTTGAGATCCATGTAAGAATCTTTCAGTAGTAAATGCCAAGATCTGACCAATACTGAATTTAGTCTTTTAACTTTGTAACAGTATTAGTAGGTTTTAAAGTCTTCTTCTGATGCTGCCCCCCAGGAGTTCCGGGAAATCTCCTACCTGAAGAAGTTTAAGTGTAAAAAGCAAGACAGAGCATTCCCTCCAGAGGCTGTGGCTGTGAACGCAGTGCTTCCAGCAGCAGCTTCTGCTCCTTTGACAGAGAAGGCGTCTGTGCCAGCAGGTAAATGACTCGCTAGGCAGTGTTCAGAGCCAGGAGAGACTGGTTTGAATGCAAATATGTGTCTATCCAGTTGTTGGAGCCAAACAACATTCACTTTATGCTTTCTCTAGTGTGGCAGTGGGGAGGGGAATGGCAGGTGTCAGTGCTGCCTACGGGATTTCTCCTGGCACTTCACTGGCAAGGAGGCATTGATTGGTCTTTTGAGAAGCCATGGCTTCAGTGTGTGACCTGCTCACTCTGCAAAGCTCCTTCCTTTTGCTCTGCTCAGTCACTTGTCTGCTGTACTGCACTTCAGGAGCGGGAACGTGGATGGCCAATCACATGGTGTCCCTGAAGTGCTGTGCAATATACTGTACCCTCCTTCTGCTCCAACATGCGGCTGACTCGCTATGGTGAGAAGCAGAGGCAGCCTCTTCTGTTCCTCACCCCGATGTGGATAGATCCCAGCTTCAGTCTGTGGACAAACGCATTTGAGATCCAGGTTGTGCTTTGACAAGTCACTTAGGAGTTTTAAACGTTGGACTGCCCCTGGGGATCCCCTTTCCCTACCACGTTTATAACAGTGTTTGTGCAGAGCTTATCCAACTCCTTGGGCAGTGTGACTAGGGTTCAAATGAAACATTTAATGAGGAGGCTTCTGGCTTGATTTTGTGAGGAACATCCATAGACCTTAGAATCACATGTTCCACGTCCAACATTAAACTGTTAAGGCGGTAGCTTGTTTGAAATAATTTATTTGCACGTGGCTTATCAGTCATTGGCTTCTCTCACTTAATGGTTATTTCCTCTATCCTCTTGATCCCAGACTCCTCCAACATTCCCCATCTACCTATCAGTAGGAGCTACTTTGATTTATTCAGCCCTCAGAGCTTGTAACAGTCTTCAGTATTACTGTGATGTGTTTCAGCGTTTGTGGCTGTCTAGACTGCAAAACCTATTACAGGTGTGTTTGATCTGTAACATGATTGTGCTAGAGCTGTGTTACCACTTTGATCCTGAGTGGTTACAGGGCTAAGACAGTTCAGTACCATATCTGCTTCACAGTCTGGTCCCATCTCGACATCCTGCCTCTCCAATTCCCCCAAAGCAGCTTTTCAATGAAGGAGGTGGCTTAAATGTTACCTTTAGGTTTCCCTTGGGTCCTCCCTTCGCTGTACATGGAAAAGGGAAGCTGTGTTAGCACTTCATAGCCAACAGTGTGCAAGCAGTGTCTGCTGCCAGTATAGTCATGTCCTCAGTCTAAAACCCTTTTCATTTCTCCACCCCTCTTCCCAGGAAACTTGCTGTACATTGGATTATGCTGGCTTGTATGTTCTCTGTACTAGGGGAGGATGAACAGTTGTGAGAATCGCTCAGAGCAGTATCAGATTCAGGATCTGTGGGTTTAGTGCTCAATGCTCTTTATTTACGTGATGTTTTATTTCTGAACAACTAGATAAGCCATTATCCAGCATGAAGATTTTGACCCTTGGAAAATTATCCAGGAACAAGGAAGAAGTGAAGGCTATGATTGAGGACCTGGGCGGAAAGGTGACAGGGACAGCGAACAAGGCTACCCTGTGCATCAGCACACAAAGTGAGGAACAATGCTATATCAACAGCAACCTTAGGACTTGGGAGTTAGGAGATTATAAAGGCCATAATTAAATTCCTGTGTAAAGGCTTGAAGTGACATTCTGTTGAGCCATGTTTGGATAGTGGGTTTTTTTCATATTCTTGGAAAAGTGAATAAAAATATATTTTGTAAGCAAGACTTTCTACAGTGCTCTTAGTTCTGAGTGATCTCCTGGTGTTTTCCTGACTGCAGTAGAGCTGATGTCAGGAATAGGTATATTTCCTGTTGTGGATTTTAAAGGACTAGACTGTGTTTTAATTGTGAGGTGGCTTCTTTTATGTAACGGGTAGCTGAGGTTGATGTAGATATCTACGTGTCAAATGCGGGGTCAGGCGTAACTATTTAACAGCATTCATTCATGGCCTCGTTGTGACTATTTCAATGTAAGGTCCTGCTCCCACTGAAGTAACAGCAAAACTCCTGTTGACTTCAAAGGTGCAGTATCAGGCCCTTACGGTGTAGGGGAGAAATGTCCCTGATAGACAGTTGGCCTGGAGGGTGCTGCCACGGGCCTCATCAGAGTAGCTCCCACCAAGCCCCTGGCTCAGTTGGGAGGTGAGGCAAGGTTTGAAATCTAGAAAGTCACTATGCAACAGGTAACTTTGTTTTAGCCTAGACCAGGCTGTTGTGGATTTTGTTTTGGGCAGGATGTAGCACATGCAAACGCCTCCTTAAAACATTACAAAGCCTGCACCAGCACAACAGGGCTAGAATCAGAGCCTCTCGGAAGAACTCTGCACTATCTTTGTCACTGTAATGTTTGCTCCAGTAAACTTGGATTACAGCTTCCCTGACTCTTATCCCCCTCCTTGCAGAGGAAGTTGAGAAAATGACCAAGAAGATGGAAGAAGTGAAGGAGGCCAAAGTCCGGGTGGTCTCAGAGGAGTTTCTGCAGGATGTGAAATCCTCCCGCAAGGGCTTCCAGGAGCTCCTGTCGCTGCATGCGCTCTCGCCTTGGGGTGCAGAGGTGAAGCAGGAGCACACGGAGACGTCCCTGGGAGGAAAGTCCAGCGGGCTCCCAAATATGAAGAGTGCTGGGAAGGTCAAGGAAGAACAAGGTAAAAAACACAATGGCTCTTGTCGCCACAGGAGTGTTCGTTACCGTGTTCTTAAGCGTTGCTTTACCCTTCCATAGCATGCCTCTTGTGTGAGGGTCTGAGGGCGAATGGGTGGGCTCCTCACACAGCACAGGTGCCCTGGCTATAGTCCAAACTCACCCCTTTCCCCAAATTGGGCCCTTATTCTTTCTTCAAGTAACAAAACCCCAAGGCCAGACCAGCCTCGGTGTCCAAACTCCCTCCCGAACGGGCTGTTCGTAGAGTTTCTCCCTGCCGTACTGCCTGTCCCTCTTTTAGCTCACTCTTGCCTGGGGGAGAGAGAGACGGCTTGTTGTATTCCTTAATTTGAAATAATGCTGGGTGAGCCAATGAAAAAACTCTGCTTCTCCTCTAGGCTTATACACTGAGACACTCTGCTGGTATAAATCCACACAGCCCTATTGGCTTCATAGAGCTGCCCCATCTTACACCAGCAGAGAATTTGGCTCTCTGTCAGAATGTTCTGTGACTTACTCAGGGTCATATAGTGAGTGGCAGAACCCAAGATTCCTGGGTTCTCCCATGCTCTACTAGACACCCAAAATATAGTGACTCTTTCAACAAAATAAATCTGTTAATACTGGTGACAGTCCCCATCTGAGCAATAGGCAAGCTCAGGTACAAACCATAGGCTTTGGTACAGGGTCCAAGATAAGTAGGTAAGTTCAGTGTACATAAATTAAACTTCAGAAACAATTGCACTGAGTTCAGTCTTGTGAATTATCATCATTCTAGCTAATGTGTGAAAGTTGTACACACGCATTGTTGAGAGACCATGATAATGGGGCACATTTGAGACTGTTAAGGAGGCTTGTATAATGTCTCTGTCTAGAGACAGCCAGTGCTACACAATACCTTCCTCTTCATCCATTTCTCTGGTGTGTGAATGTGCTGTCTCCATGGATCCTTCCAACCTTTGATTGCTCAGAGGTGAGGAACAGAGTTTGTGACCCCCAAACTTAAAATTTCCACCACATGTTGTATGTTGCATTAGCAGCCTGGCCCACAGCAATAGAATCTGAATGTATCATTCATAAACAATTGTCCAGGTTTTAATTTATGAAAGCAACTGTCACCAAAATTCTAGCAGGATAACTAAAACATTCCACCTGTTTGGTGCGGGGAGGGGAGAAGATGGGTGTCACCTCAGTAGACGGTCAGTCCCCAGGTTAGATCACGTAAGGTGCAGTGTAGCTGGAAGACAAAGTGCAGTGACTTCTAACATTGCTTTAAAAGAGCAGTGTGTTTTATAAAAGTGGAACCTGTTAGTGTGAATCCAGACAGAATGAAAACTACTCTCGTGCTTTTAAAGAACTTGAGCATTGATTCAAGGAGAGTTCTTCAGACAATCCTGTTTTATCAGATTAAAAATTTAAGGTCTTCCCATCTCTTTCTTCAGGAACCAGCAAGTCTGAAAAGAAAATGAAGTTAACAGTTAAAGGAGGAGCAGCAGTGGATCCTGATTCAGGTGAGTGCAGAAAACCAGCTGTGCCTCCAACCATCCTAGCCAGAGTCTGATCAGTTTGAATCCATGCGTTCTCATAGCACTCCCTGCCAGTACCCAGCCCTAACCGGGGAAGCTAATGATCCAACCAGTGGACCAAATTCTGTTTTAAATTCTCCCCTGCAAATGAACCATGATAGCCCAAACCTGAGACGTGAGTTCTCTTTGGTTCCCATTGAGGTACCTAGGAGTTGTGGATTCTCAGCACCTTTCGCCCTGCCTCATAGAAGAAATGTTTGCTTGGTGAAATGTTAAATGCTGGTGATCATCTTGCATATGCATAGAGATAACCATGGCTTTTCCATTGTCTCCATGCATAAGAACGTAAGAATGGCCATAATGGGTCAGACCAAAGGTCCATCTAGCCCAGTATCCTGTCTTTTTACAGTGACCAATGCCAGGTTCCCCAGAGGGAATGAACAGAACAGGGTTCTTTTTTTAACCCTGTTTTAGTCTTTGCCTTCACAACATCCTCTGGCAAGGAATTCCACAGGTTGACTGTGCGTTGTGTGAAAAAATACTTCCTTTTGTTTGTTTTAAACCTGCTGCCCATTAATTTCATTTGGTTACCCCTAGTTTTGTGTTATGAGAAGGAGTAAATAACACTTCCTTATTTACTTTCTCCACGACAGTCATGATTTTATAGACCTCTATCATATTCCCCCTTAGTCGTCTCTTTTCCAAGCTGAAAAGACCCAATCTTATTAATCTCTCCTCATATGGAAGCCATTCCATACCCCTCATAATTTTTGTTGCCCTTTTCTGAACCTTTTCCAATTCCAATATATATTTTGAGATGGGGTGACCACATCTGCACGCAGTATTCAAGATGTGGGTGTGTGACGGGGTGTCGACTCACCACCGCTGGCGCCTCCTGCTGGTTGCTTCAGGAATTAGCTCTTGTCAGCTGCAGAACGCCCTCTGCATGTGGTCTCGCCTGTCATCTGCTCTGCTGATTTGGGACCTGAATTGCTCCCCGCTCGGCGGCGTCCTCTTCAGGACACTGCCCTCCGGCAGTGCCCACTACTCCACTCTCACCCCCAAAGTCTATCCCCTCATTTCAGGAGCAGTCTGTCTCGGCCCCACTCCTCTGTGGCCAGGTGCAGTGCAAGGGGCGAATGGGGGACCCAGCCCCACCCGCTACTTTGGGTCCCGACCCAGGTACCCTGTAGCGGCAGCCTCTGTCTGCCCTCCTTCGTTCTCCTCTTGTCCGCCTATCTTCTCTGGGCTGCTTCCCCTTTGGCCCTGTGCACCTTCTCGACCCTTCTTAGCAGGGACCTGGCAGGTAACTGGGCCAGAGCTCTCCTCTGCTTCCCCAAGCCTGCCCAGCACTGCTCTGTCCAAGGTACTACCTCCTTACCTCAGGAGCCAGTCCTCCTCCCTTGCTAGTCAGGGAGAGACTGCCTTCTCCTTTGCTAGGCATCCTTTATATAGGGCCCAGCCCGGCCCTGATTGGCTCTCCACAGGCCTTTGCTGATTGGCTGCTGGCCTGCACAGCCTCTCTGGCCTGTTCCAGCCCTTTTTCTCAGGGCGTGGGGCAGCCACCCCACCACAGGGTGTACCACGGATTTATATAGAGGCAGTATGATATTTTCTGTCTTCTTATCTATCCTTTTCTTAATGATTCCCAATGTTCTGTTTGCTTTTTTGACTGCTGCTGCACATTGAGTGGATGTTTTCAGAGAACTATCCACAGTGACTCCAAGATCTCTGTCTTGAGTGGTAACAGTTAATTTAGATCCCATCATTGTATATGTATAATTGGGATTATGTTTTCCAATGTGCATTACTTTGCACTTATCATCACTGAATTTCATCTGCCATTTTGTTGCCCAGTCACCCAGTTTTGTGCCCGTGTGTGTCTTAACATCTCTTGGTTAAGTCTGCATACACAAAATTAGTCTGAATAAGGAAAGGAGATACAAAATGACTACCTCACCCTGGCTCTAATTCACTACCTTTCTTCATAGGTTTGGAGGACTCTGCTCATGTCTTTGAAAAGAGTGGTAAAATCTTCAGTGCCACGCTCGGCCTGGTAGATATCGTCAGAGGAACCAATTCCTATTACAAACTGCAGCTACTGGAGGATGACAGAGAGATCAGGTGGGTTTAATTTCCCATGGAAATGTGGGGTTTTTTACAGTACTTTTTTTTTTTACAAATGCCAGATATAAATAGAAATGTCTTCATGACTTCTTTTAAAAATTGCTGTGATGTTGTTTTGTTCTGTATGGGAAAAGTTCCTTTGTAGTTCTGGAAACCCAAACAGAGCAACATCGCATAAGTGCATGAAAACATGGAAGTGAAACTGACCAATCTAGTTTCATTTTTGCCGAATAGAGTGAGATGAAAAAAGTAAACCTACAGGATGAAATGGAAATTAGGAATTGATAAGCACCTGAGCAAGTCTGGTTTGTGCTCAATTCCACTGATAGTGAAAACATCTCAGATTGATCAGTTGGGGTTTTTTAGCTATAGAATTAGGGTTAATTAAATGATGTACCACCCAAACTATAATGTCCTGGGACCGGTGTCTCAGCATTCAAGAGCAGCAAGGCAGGATTTGGCATGATTTAATTTTGGGACATGGTTTATGAAGAGACGTGCAGGTTGCATTGTTTCCTTAACTCCTGTTCGGTATCAGCTGACTGCGAAGCCTCTGGAGGCTAGCTCAGTGTCAGGCTGCTCCACATCTGTGAAGCATGTAGAAACCAGTACCCTGAGGCTTGGCAAGGTGCATTGAAAAAGACCAGGAAGCATCATGCCCAGTCTCAGCCAAGCATACATCAGAATTGTGCACATGCTAGACTATTGAGGAAGGTGAGGTCAAGAGGGCCTTGGGGAAAATGGATTCTCCTGGAGCAGAGAGAATGCACAATAACCAAGGTAAGCTAAGGGCTGCAGATAAGCTGCCTATTTCAGCTGTGGATGACTTATACTTTAAATTGCTTGTACTTCAAATTGGACTCTTGTTACCAGTTCCCATATCTGGATTTGTGATTAGTATGTGATGAAATTTCAGGACTGGTATTCAGTGCTGGCAAATCAAAAAAAATGATTAATCGTATCTCTACGAGTCATGCAAAAACTCTTTAAGATAGTGCCAGTACCACAGCCGGACGGGTAAATGATTGTATTTTGACAGTTTCTCTCTTTTTTTTAAATTTAGACTAGGATTTGGAGTCTTGCCTAGTTAGTGGATAGTTTAGTTTAAAGTTGTGCATGCGTAACAAGGATTTCATAGTGTCTGTTTTCAAAATGTGTGACCATAATAAGTTGACATTTGCATTATTCTGTTCAGTTTCCACATTTCACAAAGCAAAAATTAGCCACAGCAGTGACTGGATATAGACAGTGGAGTTGCAGCGCCATAGAAGATGACATTGGGCAACCACACAAATGGGAATTGTGGGCTTTCCGCTTGCTCGCTTCATTCTGGATTGCTACTTCGACTATTAAATTGCCTTGTTTCTCTCCTTTTAATGTCAGACACTTTGGATCCTTTGTCTGTGCAGTCACAAGAGTTGAGGCTGTCTCTTCCTTCTCTCCCCCCCCCGACTCCCAAGAGCCACCAGAATTTCTCTGAATAACCATCTCCTCTGGCTCCACTATAGGCCAGTTCAGCCTTGATGTAAGCAGGCACAACTCTGACTCTCTCAAATGGAAGTTGAACCCACTTACAGTGCTGCTGCTTATGGCAAACGCTTAATGAGTAGCGGTGAAATCTGACATTTGTAGCCATGCCCCTATGTTTTTATGTGTGATATAAAGTTGGGCATTGATAACAAAAAAGCATTGAAATCCTAATTAATCTTACTCTGCAGTTTTGTCTTCTTTAGCCCGCAGTAGAGCCCAAACATGTTAGTTGCTTGCAAGATAGAGGCTGATCCCTTTCCCAAAGACATGTAATGTAAAACGACAGATGAATAAAGAGTGGGGAGAAAGGGATACAGCACACAAGCAAAGCAATCAGACTAATGCAGGGGTCGGCAACCTACAGCACGTGTGCCAAACACGGCACGTGAGCCGATTTTGAGTGGCACGCTGCCTGCCCACTGAGAGGAGGGGGCGGAGGGGCCGGAAAGCGCCACGCTGGGGGAAGAAGGGGGAGGAGGGAAGCTTGGTCCTGCGGCAGCCATGCCCCTCTCCCCCCCCCTTCCCCGTTTCTTCCCACAACGTGGTGCATTCCGGCCCCCTCCTCCTCCCTCCTCTCCCTGCCGGCGACGGAGCGGAGCAGAGCACAGCAGAGCTGAGCGCAGCGTGCTTGCTGCTCCCTAGAGCAGGCAGAGAGAGGTAGGGATGGGCCTTGGGGAAGGGGGTGGGACAGAGCATATCCCTCCCAGCCCCCTGCCATGAGCCACTCAGGGCAGGGGGGGGGGGGGACCCCCCCCCACACACCGCTCTCCCCTGCAGGGGCAGGAGGCAGGAACTTGGTCCTGCCGCAGCCGAGCTTGCCTCCTCCCCCTTCCTTCCCCCCCAGTGCGCTGTTCGAGCGCGT